ATCCTCCCTATATTTGCTATATATATATATAATTTTATTGTGGTATAAAACACATAACATGAAATGTATTATCTTAACCATTTTAAGTGTATAGTATATAGTGTTATCTATATGAACATTGTTGTGCAACAGAACTCTTAAGCTTTTTTAACTTTGAAAACTGAAATCTATATCCATCAAACAACAACTCTATATCCATCAAACAACAACTCCCTATTTCCCCCTGCTAATTATAAGTCTACTTTCTGCTTCTATGTGTTCAACTACTATAGATAACTCACATTAAGTGTAATCATGTGGTTGTCTTTTTGTGATTGCCTTGTTTCATTTATCATAATGTCCTCAAGGAGTGTGTGACAGGATTTCCTTCTTTTTAAGGCTGAATAATATTCTACTGTATATACTACATTCAGTTTATCTAATCATCTGTTCATAAATATTTGGGTAGCTTCCACCTCTTAGCTTTTGTGAATAATACTTCTATGAACATGAATGTACAGATATCTCTTTGAGGTCCTTTGTCAATTCTTTTGAATATACTCTAAGATGTGGGATTGTTGGATCATAATTCTATTTTTACAAAATTACCATACTATTTTCCACAGCAACTGCACCATTAGCATTCACACCAAAGTGCATAGGGATTCCAATTTCTCTGTGTCCTCAACAAAGTTTGCTATTTTTTAAATAATAGTAATCAATATGCTTTTAGCTGAGCAACTATTTTGTGCCAGACACTATTTTGGGAATTCCTGGTACAGTACTAAACCAAGGAGACCAAACCAGGAAAAGCTATCTGCTCACAAGAAGTATGTCCTTAACCAAGTAGTAAGCATCCCAGCGCACACACTATGGAGCAGGACCAGGTTGGGAGACAAAGAAAAGAACCAAAACCACAAAGCACAGGCTATTGTCTTAGCACCTTGAGCTAGTATTATCATCAGACTTTAATAAGCAGGAGCTGATGGTTTAAGTCAGAATCAGTTACGAAAAGCAGAGAGTCTGTTTCCTAAGCCATGTTGACCAAAGGCTTCCAATTCCTTAATGAACAAGAAGTGGACACATACATCAGGATCTTTTTACACTTTTTATATGTGGTCACCTATAGGCATACATAAAAAATATGCATAGTTTTCATTATAGAAAGCAAGTATAATTTTTCTCAACAAATCTTTTTCTTTCATGTTTATAAATTACTAGTGAAAAAAAATGCATTTAGGTACATAACTAACTGAGACAAGATTTTGGAGCCTGAGTATATAACATCAGGCAAGCAGCACCTGTTACAGACCATTACAGATGAAATGCATGTGTTTCTCTGGACCTGCTACATCTTAATGAAGATGCAGAGGAATGACACTCCCATATTCTATAGGGCTCCTCAAGGAGCTGCCTCTTCATGCACTTGGCACCGTGTGCACCTCACTGCCTTGTGGGTATTAATTGACATGGATATTTCCCATAAGGGATTCTGATACACTTGAGACAATGAATTGAGGGAATTCATTTCAGTATCTCCTGTATATACGGGTAATGGCTCCTAATAGGTCATAAACATATATCCTCTGAATGAACAAATTCAAATTTTTTTCAGAGCATGAGGAAACTCCTAAGTGTATCTGATTAAGCAGTGGTAGTAGTCTTCATTAGAGGTGTGCAGTTGAGGGATTGTGTGGTGAGAGAAGATGGAGGTAAGCAAGGGTTGAAGTCAAGAGTGCTGCTGGTTACCAGTTAACATAACTGGGTAGTGCTAATCAGTGAGCGAGGGAATACAGGAGAAAGAGGAGGTAGAGAGGCAGAGCCCACAATGAGAAATAAACTTGGATATGTTGAGTTGAACATGTAACAGAAATCTACATGGAAGTCTCCAGAAGGGGCCCTAAGGAGGGAAGTCTCAGCTAGATACTGTATTAAAAATTCATCAGCATTTTATTAACAACCAAGTGGAAGATTCTGATTATTCAGAAGACCTGTGGTAGAGACCTAGAATCTACTTCAACCAGTGCCCCCGATATGGTTCCAAGAATCACAAGTTTGATACTGAAAAATACCATTTAAAATCATTAAAAGGGTTTCTTTAGTAACACAAAGATGAAATATATCTTATTCTCCAATTTTATTTCTCTTGTGCAACATATTCAGAAATTAGAAAGCAACCATAATGAAGTACATATTAATGTATAATATGGGTCTGGTTCTATTAAATTTGAACTGAGAATAATCGGAGAAAGAAAATTAAAAATTCTCAAGTTCAATGCACGATCTAAACTTCCAAAAGAAAAATCAAGTACTAGACCCCACACAGTTAGAAAATGTAGATTTTAGGAATAAATACAGTTTTAACAAATATATTTTAGAACTGGACTGCAAGTACTCCTGTCTTCTCTTGGTTTCATGAAAGAGCCATGATATGCTACTGATAAAAGTCAATATTCACAAGAAATAATTAAATGAACTAAATATTATTAGACACCAACAAAAAGTACAGCATTGTGTTAGGCTCTGTGAAGGGAAAAGAAAAGAATGATTAAAGGTCCTTATCAACTGGTGGGAGCGTTGGACATGTGCCGAAAATCCTTAAGCCCAGGCTGAATAAAGTAGTCATGAAAGCACAGATACAAGCTACACGATCAAGAGAAGAAGGTAGGCCAGGCTCAGTGGCTCAGCCTGTAAGCCCAGCACTTTGGGAGGCCGAGATGAGCGAACTGCCTGAACCCGCGGGTTCTAGACCCACCTGGGCAACTTGGCAAGGCCTCATCTCTACAATAAATCAAAAAATTAGCCGGGCGTGGTAGTGCGCACCTGTAGTTCCAGCTACTTGGAAGGCTGAGGCAGAAGGATCGCCAGAGCCCAGCGGGTGGAGGCTGCGGTGGCTGGAAGCAGCCACTGCACTCCAGTCTGAGCGACAGAGTGAGCCTCCAACTCAAAAAAAAAAAAAAAGAGAAGAAGGTAAAGCTTAACTTAAGCTCAAGGAAGAGTAGAATGATTTTATGGAATAAGAGGCCCACCTTTAACCTGAAAGAATGCTGAATTTCTAGAGGTAAAGACAGGATGATAGTACAGATTGTTCACCCCAATTTTATAATCAAGGAAACTGGAATTCATAGAGTTAGTAGATTTCTCAAAATAATGCAGTTAGTATAAGTTGGAGACCATTTTTGACTCAAGGACTATTTGACTCCACATGCATATCCTTCAACCCTACATTAACCTTTAAATATTCCAGGGTGGCTAGAAAGGAGATGTGTTACAATACAATGTAAGTTTAGGTTGAGTCACAAGTTAGTGGTAACCTCAATGACAGACTAATGAATATGAAAGCTATCCCTTGGATATTTGGGGTGGAATTATGGGACCTGTGAAAAAAGATGGAGGGACAAGATGTTTTCCAACAATCACATTGTTCCTCTCCAGACAATCAACAAGAGAAATGAAACACTAAAACATTTGGACAAAGTGGAGAGAAATAGTGGAAAGAAGTAATTTGTATTTATAAACAAAAACTACTTTTAAATGTATAATCATTTACCACAATAAAAATTCTGAAAATTCTGTTTGATTAACACAAGACTAGGACACTATGGGAGTGTTAACACAAATCTCCAAAAAATCCCCCAGATTCTTCTTGCTCAATGAATACATTTTAAAACTGCTTAAAATGCACAACATATAATAAGCAAAGATCTCTGAAAAGTGGAAAATATTTCCCTAAACTAGCAAAGATTCTGAGTGCAATGGTAGTTTCAGTTGCAACTATTAATTGGGAGGAAGAGAAGGTGTCGATTATGCAAATCATGTAATAGCATTTAACAGCAATCCAATCAGAATGAATCATTAACATTTTCATTGCCACCTATGAACTAGATTTCCTTGTGGAGGAAGAAGTGAGACAAGATTTTTGACTGCTTAATATAGGATCAAATGGACATCCATTTATTTTTTATTAGGAAATTTGTAATAGTACAGGGATAACTTCAATAGCAGAGATAATCATTCACTCTAATTATTGGAGTTCTCTCCATTACCTCAAATATATCTAGTGCATTTGCCAAAAGTTTAATTAAAATGAGATGGCTGGAATAATTAATATCACAGTAAACATAAGACAAACTAATAAAACTGTAACTTTTCCCCTTTATTCTTCTCGGCTATGCGAAAAGAGGCCATTTCAATTTTCAGTAATGAGTTACTTAAAACAGTTTCTATGGTATTAAAAGTCTTCTTGATATTTGTCTCAAAGAACAAAATTTAATACCATGTAAGCTTCTATCAGTGTGAATCAATGGTACTATGCTGTATGAATTTTAAAGATATTTCCAATAAATAAAAGAATGTACATCCAAAACTATTACATATTCTTTATAATGAGGTTTGATTATAGTGAAATTTAACTGACTAGTTTAGTTCTCTAAACTGCACAAAGACTTACGTGTGCTTACAAATACACATAATTTGCTTCAAGTTAAATAAGTACAAATGTCTGTGTGTTTAATCCATGCATTGTTTAAAAACTACATGTTGAAATATTTATAAATATTATATGAAAAATACAGAGTTCCAAGAGGCCTCTTTTAAGATAGCCTTATTAAATCAAAAGCATTTTGAAATACAGTATGTACATGAACTTTCCACCTCTCTCCTTCTCCTAGGAAGAACTAATGGCTGTTAAAAACAGAAAGTCATTGAAAATACAATGTCACTCTCACTCCGGCATTCTTTGGGAATCTTCCTGGTTTGTTCTCTTCACCTCTCCTGGAGCATTTTAAACAATAAGATGCAGTACACAAGAACTATCAAAAGGGAGCACTTTTGAGCTACCAAAATTGTGTGTTAGCCTGAAAACCACTATCTCCCCAACTACAGACAATGATACTATCTCAGGTATTTTATGTGCTAAAATGATCATTAAAAATTAAGCACCACATATAAGCTGCCATTTAGAATATTAATTTACCTTTGCTAATCATCTTTTTAACTTGAGGCTAAAAGAGTTCACTTACCATTCGGATATTCAGGCTCAGTCCAGGAGACATTAAAAGAGTCAGGTGAATATGAGTGGGCTTTGGGGGCTGGCACACCTTCGGGTATATCCTCATCAGTTAGGGCCTCACTGGCCTCACTCACTGTACACCCACCACCTGTGCAAGCCTAAACAGAGATGCGAAAAAGCACAATTCACTCTTGGTCTCAAAAGTTGTGATGAGCACTGAAGAGAGGCAATTCATAAAAAGAGTTCCAGATTCTTTCACATAGTGATACCTATACCTCCTCCCGCCCCCAAATAAATTTGTTTCAATGCTGAGGTTTAACATTTAATTAATTTGCTTTTTAGGACATGAAACAGCCATCTTCAATAGTTAGAAAATGACTTGGAGTATATTAATGTATGATTTAAAGAACCATCCTAAGTTAAAGCCTAGCAATGTCGTAAATCAATTGACTAGGTGAATAGTTCTGCTGAGGTTAGCCTTGCACAAAATTTTTCAAAATGAATTAAACACCCACACCCACACACACACAGCATATGTACACACCATATGAGAGACACCCTAGAAAATGAAGACTACTTCCAGATATAGCAACTGGTTTCCGGGCTGGGGGGAAAGATGTACAGCAAATATAATGACCTTTTATAGTGTGACCAATATGTTTATAGTATAATACCATGTGAAATGCAATAAAACAATATATCTCATAAGAGAATAAATACAAAACAGTTGTTGAATGAATATTTAACTGCATAAAAGATCAAATAATTTACTTATGTGTCAGAGGATATAGGCTTCATTAAAACATGGCTGACAGAGCCGGGCTCGGTAGCTCAGCCTGTAATCCCGCGCCTTTGGGAGGCTGAGGTGAGTGGATTGCCTGAGCCCGCGGGTTCAAGAC